GGGACAGCAGGGCAGGCCTTATGAGGAGAGGCTATGGGACCTGAACCTGTTCAGCCTCCACAAGAGAAGGCTGAGGGGGGATCTAGTGGCCTGTTACAAACTAGTCAGGGGGGATCAGCAGGCACTGGGGAAGTCTCTGTTCCCCCGAGCACTGCCAGGAGTGACCAGCAATAACGGTCACAAGCTGGTAGAGGGTAGATTTAGGCTAGATATCAGGAGGCGCTACTTCACGGTCAGGGCGGCTAGGATCTGGAACCAACTTCCAAGAGAAGCGGTGCTGGCCCCTACCCTGGGGGTCTAAGAGGAGGTTAGATGAACACCTTGCTGGGGTCGTTTGACCCCAGTACTCTTTCCTGCCATGGCAGGGGGTCGGACTAGATGATCTGCTCAGGTCCCTTCTGACCCTAGAAACTATGAAACTATTCCAGCCAAGGCTTTGTTGAACTGGACCTTAAAAATCTCTAAAGATGGAGAATCTACCGCCTCTCTAGGTAATCTGTTCTAGTGCTTTGCCACCTTAGTGAGAGAGTTTTTCCTAATATCCAACCTAAACTTCCCTTGCTGCAACTTGAGACCATTGCTTCTTTTTCTGTCATCTGCCACCACTCAGTCTGTTCTGATGAGAAAAATAAGTATTATTGTGGAGAGCTATAGCAGAGTTGGAAAGTATAGTTATTTAAAAATGGGGGGAAAATCCAGACATTGAGATTATACTAGGGCAATAACTAGCTCATACATGGTTTACTGTTTCCAGTTTTAGCCACTTCAAATAGAACAGATCTAGAGAGTAAGAATAGCTGGAGGCATGATTTAACACATTGTTACTTATGATAAAACAAACTGGCTGTTATTCACACTAGTTACAAAATCAGCGTTATTGGTTTCAGAAAATAAAACAAACAAGGCTTTCCATTAGCATTCAGTGTCGGTGACATGTTACAATGTGAAGGCTAGTTATCGCAAGGTTTAGGGCTTATCCAGATCAACCAAACACAGACACACCAATCAGAGTTGACCTAGAATTCAGACCAGTCTCATACATAAACACCTCAAGTAATTAAAGATAACGGAAAAACCTTTTTAAAAGTTTTGTACAGAAAGGGAATGTAAACTATCAGAAGGAACAGGAACTATCTATCCTGGAACCACAAAGCCCAGCATGTCTGTTATCTCTGAATGCATTGTATTTGCTGCTATGGTACTTTATGGTGTGTTTGCAGAGTGATTAATTTCCTTGCTGGAAAAAAAAATCCACAACAGTAACTCAACCTTTTCCCTTGGTTTCCATGTGGAGAAATATAAAGATGATCATTTTGTGTTAAGCTGGGTTGTAGGGAAAGAGGGAAAAGAGCAGTTTTGCCCTCCAAGTGGAATTAATCAAGGAAATGTAGTTCTGGTATGAATTTCATGACCCAAACTCTTGCTGAGTGCAGCTGGGGGAAAACAAAGCCCTTGTGGACTTGAAAGTCCTAGGGAAGCATCTCTTAACCATATCACACACAAGAAATAACCCAGTTTTGGAGCCGTATGAAGTCCCAGATGGATCTCAAAGCAGATGAAGATGAGTAACCTCTTCTGGTATAGATGGACGCATTTTATCTGGCCTTTGAATTACTCATTTTAAATAATTTCAAATGATCCCTATAGCTGTATTCACTCATAAATATGTTGAAAGATTCACTCATAAATAGATGGCTAACAAACCAGGCTATCTTTCTGCCTCATATTTTACCCAATATCAAGAGTGTCAAACATGTGGCCCACAGGCCAAGTCCAGCCTGTACAGCCAGGATATCTGGTCTCTGGGGCTCCTGGGAATTCAGGGATGGGGTGAGCAGGGGCTTTGGATCCCTGTTGGGAATGTGTGTGAGTGGTGAGGGATAAGTGAGAGCTGTGTTAACCCCTGCAGCTCTACCACTTCACCCACTCCTCACTGTATAAAAACAGTTTGGGAACAAAGGGTCACTGGACACAGTGGCAACAAGTAGGGGATGCACAGGGGTGCATGTGCACCCCCTGGCAGCACTGGTGCACACCCTGACAGCCACTGTTCCCTGCTTAGGCAATGAGTTGCAGGGGGGCAGGCAAGAGCACTGGTGCCCCCCCTGAGAGCGCTGACTGGAGAGTGGGAGCACCAGGAGAAGCAATCCCTGCAGTTCCTTCCCCACAGGGGTAGGCGTGACACTTCTGGGTTGGCACGATTGGCCACAGGGGGACCCCCTTTCGGTCGCTGACTGGCCACTGGGGGGGGGGCAAGTGTCCCCCCCGACTCAGGAGGCACCAATTGCCCATGACTGGACAACTGCACTGCACTCAAGGGCAGGTGGAGGGGGATGAACTGGTGCATTGCACTCCCTTCCTTCCTGTTTGTTTCCTGGTCCACCCAAAGTTTAAAATCAATTGCCTGGAAGTGGCAGCAGCAGCAGCATTTCTAGTCAGGCAGCAGTGAGGAAGTCATTTGACTTCATGGCTTATTATAATCTACCAGAGCCCTTCTAAATTCTTCATTCAACAAATGTTAATGGCTCTTCCTTCTTTTTAATAGCCTTGATGTTCAACTGAGCGAGCTAGCTTTTGTTCTGCAATTTGCTGCTCCTGGTAACAAAATTCCTATTTTACAGCCCCCCCAGACTGTTTTTAACTAATTCCAGTGAAGTCTTCTTGGTTGTGTCTCCAATCCAACCTGGTCTGTTCCCAGTATTCTGTACAGGCCACTGCTTCTGCTGTTGGTGTTGCCAGACCTTGTAGGGTACATTGTGGTGCCACAGGGCATCTCAGGAGATGATCCACCGTTTGCTTCTCCTGAGAAACATGTTGGTCGCATAGAGGTCCCATGATTTCATGAGAGAGTTGCATCTTGCGAGACCCACTCTCAATCTGTTCAGGCTCCGCTATGTGTGCCATTTGTAGCTGGAGCTGGATGCTAACTCCTTACTAGGGATAGTTCCTTGCCGGTTCCAGTGAAGTTATATTATTCCAATGAAGTTATATTTGTTCTTGCTTCAGTCAAATGGAATAATACAGCCTTGAGCCCCTCACATGTTAGTAAAGGTTCTAGCTTATTTTTAACTGGAGAAAAATCAGTGTTGTGTTATACACAATGAATCGATGCACCTCAGCATCTGTACTCCCTCCCCCTGACCTGGTTTTTCAAAATCCTATGTCTGTGAGACCCTGTTTCCTCATGGGGATAGATAGCAAGACTTGCTTAAGATAGTTTTAAGGTAACTAGCGCATTTCTTGGGGTCAGAGTGTGCGCTGTCTGCTGCGGAAAGCTCCAGGAGTGGTGTGGAAACATCTCCAGCCTTCTCTTCCCCCAACAATCCCAACTGACTTTGGAGTGAGAGAGCAGGCTGGGGGATGTGGTGTGTGCTTTGTGGGTGCCTGCTGTGGCAAATGTCCCTCCATGGGCAGAGGGTGGCCTGGCATGTGCCACATGTGAGTCAAGTCCAGACTCAGGGGCAGCACCCAGGGGCCCTGTCACGGCCACCTCTGGCCCAGCCTGATATGCCTCCAAGAGACCGCCTCCAAGATACTGGCCAGGGACAGTCTCTGGGCATCCTCGGCGAGCTGTGGCCACTGTTGCCAGTCTTAAATATGAAGTTATCATGTTGGAAGCTCAAAATTATCGTATTTGCTGGAAAACGATTGACAAATATGCAAAAAAGTATGCAATTAAGTTGTCTTTTCCTTGACTTTAAATTGTTTACTCTAAGTCCCAGTGAGTGAGTGAGAACCAAGTCATGAAAGTGGGGGCTGTTCTTTATTTCCAGGTAAGGAGTCACTCTAAAGTGTGGCCTCTTGAAGGCTCAGATCAAGCATAGTGGCTTCTGACCCTGGCAGGGGAAATACCATGTATCTGTTTCCAAGAAGGCAGTTTTCCTGAACCGCCTCACAGGAGAACTGCTCTTCTGGCATGGTTCAGTACCTGCTGAGGTGCAGCAGTTTTAAGCCGTTTATGGACATGAGAGTCCCCTCCCTTGTTTTTTCTGAGGGCCTTATGGCTGAGGGCAAGCAAAACGCGTGGGCATCTGAACCCCAAACCGCTGGGCTTGGGCCTGCAAGTAGGATCCCCACCAAAGGTTTTGGAAACACCTGAAGCCCCAGGTGAGGGTGGAGGATGTTTGCCAGTAGTAAGGCCACTTGTGGCTCTGGACGGTTGGATTTGGAATTAGTTTGGGCTAATTTGGCCTCGGCTAAAAATTAAATTAAAACAAAACAAAACAAAACAAAATAAAAAAGCCCCTGAGCGTTGCTTAAGACTCCTAACTTGGGTTTTGTGTCCGTTGCATCAATTAGGTGCCTCAAAAATTATCATATATTTTGAACACTTTTTTTATCATTATTATTAACCGCACAAGGGCTGAAATTATTGCACAGACACACCCCTCGCACGCGCGGACGCCGGGGGGTGGGGGCGGGGCGAGGGGCGGCCGTTGCTAGGGCCGCGGTCCGGGTAGCAACGGCGGAATGCGGAGGCGCGCGTGCGCAGCGAGGGGGTGGGGCTTGCTGCAGTGCATGCCGGGAGGCTCGGAGCCGGCGGGGCGGTCGCTGCGGGCAGGGATGAACGCGGCCGTGGTGCGGCGCACGCAGGAGTCCCTGGGCCGGGTCATCCGCAAGCCGCCTCTCACCGACCGGTTGCTCGGCAAGCCGCCCTTCCGCTACTTGCACGACGTCATCGGCGAGGTGGGTCCGCTCCCCGGCTTCGCGTCCCCGTTGCCAGGCGCCGTGGGGGGCGGGGCCACGGGGGAGCTCGGGGAGGGCCCCGCCCCCTGCGGGTCTGGGGCCTTGCAAGGGCCTGGGCCCAGGGGCTCCCCACCCCCCGGCGGCCTGGCAGCAAGCCCGGAGTGGGGCGAGGGGACGGGCAGCAGAGCAGGGGGCTGGGAGGTGCGGGGCAACTCTGTAGCCCCTCTGCCAACCAGGCCCCCTCACCCGCTGCTCTGAAGCCTCCTACCGCCCATGGGAGACTCAGTTCCCCAGTGGCGAGTAGGAGCCTCCACCAGCTTGTTCTGTGGCCCCCTTCCCATCCCCTCACCTGCCAGTTTCCACCCCATAAACTGTTACAGGGGAGGTCCCATTTAGCCCCCACCCCCTGGCTGCCTGATAACGGTGTACCAGCTCTACTTGGAAGTGCAGAGTTTGCTTTTGAGCGCTCTGTAGGCAGTCGGTACTTGTACCGACTTACCTGCAAAGGGAGATGGGTGCCACAGCAACACGGCCGGTGTTCATGGCTCTTGCTGAAATGGGAGCACAAGCTCCTTCGCTGAAGGGTATGTTAGATATTCGCGTTAGTTCTTCTGTTCCCACCTGAAAAGGAAGGATAAAAAGAGACTTGGTAAAACCCTCTCTTAGAAACAGGGCAGGTGCCAATAGGTGCGGCAGCAGCAGAGGAATCAGGACTGGGTTGAAAACACCCAGGCCTGTGGGTCCAAGAGTCATGAGTTCCTGCGAACAAGTGGATGCATGAATTTTCCAGACTACAAAGTGTGTGAGATGTTAAGCATCTGGAGAAATGTGTCCGAATTTATCTTTCAGAGAACATTATGCTGCCCTAAAATTAAAGTGAATACAAAATACTGACCGACACCTTTCAGCGAATAAATTGACATGAGTGAATGACTGATTTCCCTCCACATAGAGTCACAGAAGTTGGGGGTTGGAAGGGACCTCAGGAGGTCATCAAGTCCAACCCCCTGCTCAAAGCAGGACCATCTTCAACTAGATCATCCCAGCCAAGGTTTTGTCCAGCTGGGTCTTGAAAACCTGCAAGGATGGAGATTTCACCACCTCTCTGGGCAGCCTGTTCCAGTGCTACCCTCGTTGTAAGGAAGTTTTTCCTAATATCTAACTTAAACTTCCCTTGCTGCAACTTGAGAACGTTGCCCCTTGTCCTGTCATCCGCCACTGCTGAGCACAGCCTAGTTCCTTCCTCTTTCAAACCCTGCTTCAGGTAGTGAGTCAGGCTAACAGATTTGCCTGCTGGAACCTTATAAAAGAAAATAGTGTTTTTGTTGAGGTTTTCTAGCTGTTCTCAGTAATTTGCCTTTCCTTTGTTTTGAAGGTAATTAGAGTGACAGGTTTCATGAAGGGGCTATACACAGATTTTGAGATGAAATCTGATAATGTTAAGGTGGGTATGAAATTTCCATATTTCATTATATTTTTTGATTTCATGGTGCATTGGACAGCATGGACAGTTACTTCTGTGTTGTCATACCCAGTTTCATGTAACAAACCTATCTTTCTTTTACAATTAATGTTTTGGTGGAATAGCCTCAAATGTAGCCTTTCTGAATACGAGTTGGTGTTTGTTCTGTGGCAGGACCTAAATTCCCCGGTTGTGGTCCTGAGGACTACATCTATGGTGCTAGATGCTGTAGAGATACAAAATGATTTTTCATTCCTGCACTGAGCACACTGGAGATTAAAGTTACAACACTATTAAAATAATAACTTAAAAACCATGACTTCTGCTTTTTAGGTTCTTTTTTGCCCATTATACATCCACAGACAACTTCCTCTAAGACTATATTTTCTAGGGCTAAGGAGGGGATTGTTATGTTTTGTTCTATGTGCCCCAATGGTTTGTCTCTGTTTTTGTTGATATTTTAATGGGCATATAATAACTAAGGATGATTCAGAAAATAAGTATAAGTGTTTTGAGTTGTAACAACATATGCTGTAGGAAAGAATGACAAATCCTTTTTCTGTTTACAGCAATGTGATCTTGCGGGGGGTGGGGGGGTTGTACAGTGAAGTGTATCTGAGTGTGTGCTCTTTTCTGTTCTGAGAGAGAGGTCAATTTTACTACAGCTTGAAAAGACAAATAAAAATTGTATCAGTTTTTTACTTTCACTGTTGTAACCAGCACTGTTCTCTGCAGTGAATTAATGATATTTCCAAAGATGCATATACAATGCACAAAGTGCTTCATTCTACCCATATTATTATGAGATGTGCTTTCTCAGTTTGCCTCCCCGTGCAAGTGGGGAAGCTATGCCTACTGACAGGTTTTCTGTCTATGGAGACCAGTTATTTTTGTGCCATTTCCCTTTAAGGCGAAGTCTTCCATAGGTAATTGAACACTTGAGCAGATGGTACCCATGTAAGGACCAGTGATGCAATATGGCCACCCTACTCATGCTGTTCCAGTGATTGTTTTAGTCATTGTTCACATTTGAGCTGTACTGCATCCTTGAAGTTGTACTGACCTCTGGAGAGGAACCATCTCACTGTTCCTTCCTTCACCCCTAAAATAGTGGGTTTCTGAAGTCCTTGAAGGGAAGCGGGCAAGATGAATGAATCGCCATCATTACAAACCCAACATTTATAATAGGTTTGTTTGGCAAACAGCTACGTGCCTGATATGCATGATGGATGGTTAACCCTTGACGCCCATTTCAAGTGCTGTCAGTGCTGTGCAGCAGGGTCAGTTGTATGGCCTTGGCAGCAGATCAGGCTTGATAGACGAGAGCACTGGCATTGTTTCACAGCTGTTTGTTTTATAGTTTCAAGGCTTCTGGTAGCAGTGGAGAAACAGACTGGCAGATGATTGATTGAATCATCTGACTTTGAGAGCGGCAAGGAAATTGCTCTGTAAACTGACTGATATATTTAATGCAGCTCAAGCGGTGCCTTCAATATTGAGATCAGTGGGAGAGGGCAAATGGCCTGGGCAGATCACATGATTTAAATCACTGCCTAGTTAGCCACAGGTGACTTAAATGGCTTTGACTGTACTCAGAAAACTTCTGTAATTTGAATTCTAGGCTTTTTGTTTCCAAACAGAGAACAGGATAAAGATTCAGCTGTTGCTCTATTCCTAGCTAAGAGTTTCTGCCGGAGCTTTAGCTTGTGATACATTAAAGGACAGTGAAAAGTGTTCCAACAGCATCTACAGGGAACAGCAAGTTGAACTTCGTATTGAATGACATGCATGCTTCCTCCTGGAATGGTTAATTTCTTGTAGCACATGAGGATGATGCTTTTGGGGTTGTTGATGACAGTCATGGGGCTACAAACCTGGGCAGAGTGCTCAATGACAGCATAATTTCAAAAAGAGGATGGTTTTTGTTGGGGCTGTGTGAAGCTTCGGGTGCTGATTCGATTCAGAGAAGATTCTGCCTGATTCGGTGGCCGAATCTCTGAATCCAAATTGAATCACGGAACCGATTAAAAGGTCCAAATTGATTTGAAGCTTTCCGAATCTTCGGAAAAGATTCGGAGAGCTTCGATGATTTGGGCAGTCCCTGCCTGCTGCAGCAGGGAGCTGGACCCGGAGTTGGAGCTGGTAAGTAGGGGAGGGAACCATGGCAGGACCCTTCCAGGCCCTATGCTGCTCCCCTGCCTGCTCCCCCAGCTCTCACTGACCCCTGCCCACTCTCCCAGTACCCCCATGGCTGCCCCGCCTGCCCTAGCTCCTGGTGCTTTAAAAAAAAGCCCCTGCTCACTGGGTGCTGCCAGGCGAGGATTGGAATTCCCACTGCCCCACGCTGCATGGGGAGCTGTGCACAAGCCCCCTGACCCACCCTGCTCCCCCAGGCCCCGCCATGGCTGCCCCGCCTGCCGTAGCTCCGGCCCTTTAAGAAAACAAACAAACAAACAAAAAAAGCCCCAGGACTCACTGCTTTTGTAGCAGCCTTGGGGCTTTGTGGGGCTTGTACAGAGCCTCCTACATGGTGTGGGGCAGTGGGGACTGGCAGGAATGGTGAGTCCAGGGTTCTTCTAGGGTTTTTTTTTTCCTTAAAGGGCTGGAGCCGGGGCGGGCAAGGCAGCCATGAGGGGGACTAGAGATTTGGCGGGGAGGTCGGGGGGCTCGTGCAGAGTCCCCCATGTAGTGGGGGACAGCAGGGATTGTGCCCCTGCTCAGCAGCACCCGGTAAGTCAGGGCTTTTTTTTCAAAGTGCTGGGAGCTGGGGCAGGCTGGGAGAGTGGGTGGGGGTTGGGGCCTGGATGATTCAGCTGAATCGATTCGGGACAGTGATTCGAATCACCAAATCGAATCACTGTCCCCCAAATCAGCCTAGCTGCTTTGCACAGGCCTAGTTCTTGGTATCCTTCTTGTGAGCTAGGCTTAATGTTTTAGTACCTTGGAGAGTGAGTTTGCTCACTGTGGGGGAAAAGCATCTCTTTGGAAGCTGGCTGTCCTGTGAATTTACAGATTAATTCAGCAGTAGGATATTGTGGAAACTGATCATTTAACCGTGTTGAAAAAGGGATTGTACAAATGAATGCAGGATAGGTCTGTCAGTGGATGTTAAATATGATAGTTAGGAGCAACTTCAAAATTAGGACTTCACAGGCCTCTGAGTACTGAAAGCTGTAGTGGGGAGGGACAGGGCAGGGAATAGAGTCTGGGTGTGCTCTACATAGCTACTCTTCCCATTCGCATCCACTCCCTGCCCCTGGGGTGGATAGATCTCTGGCCTGGCCCAGTGGGGCATTTCTTACATCCTTTGTTTGAACTGAGTAAAGCCCGTAGAGGTTGCTATCATCACAGAAGTGTTTGTAGCAATATACAGTGTTTGTAATCAAGGTGACTATTGTGCTAGAAACCATTGAGGAAGTTAAACTGTTGGGTTTCCTGAAATGTACAGGATTCCACGAGTATGGGATCAGAAAAACTGTGTCATTTAGAATTAGTTAAAACTATACTAGGCAAAATACTCAGAAGTACTATAGAAATAATAATTGACCTGGAAATTTATGAATTAAGCCTAAAGATGAGGTCTTTACACTTTTAATTTTTTGTGCTTTTATTTCAGACAAAACAAAACATTTTTCCATGCAGAGTACTGAGAGATTTTTATTTTGTTTTGCAGAAGAGCATTTATTTGACACTTTTCAATAACATTTCAGACTTTTGTTTCTGCTTTTCATGTGATTTACCTTGCCTACAGATTTGCATACATATTTTCATGTACATCTCTCATTATGTACATCAGAAGTTATTTATAGAGAAACACCTGGCCAATATAATTCTGTTTACAATGACACAAAAAAGGAAACTTTATTACCTATATTTTAAAATGTATCTTAATTTGAAATAGTGTTTGTTCAGTCTCAACAATTTTTCACCATTTTAGATTAGTGCCTCATGCTTATTAATGGGCAAGTAACTATATTAGTAGAATGGAGTTGCAATAGTGCCTTCAGGAATTTTACTTCTTTTACTTAATTTTCCTACCTGTTGGGCTACCTGTTATATTTGTATAACTGTCCTTGAGTCAGACTTCTCGTTTGTTGGTCTAGAGATGATGCATCTTAGATACAAAAAAGGCACTTGCAGTTAAAATTCAGGTGTTTTACCAGATAAAATGGAATTGCTTACTTCATTCTGCTAGGAGAATTAGGAATTTTCAGTACTTTTAGCTGCTTTTCAGTTATCTGTTTTAACACAGTATTTTATCTTTATGGACTAGACTCCTTTCAAAATTGGCTCAACCTTTTTCTTGCCAGTCATCACAGAAAAGGGTGGATTCATAGATTTTTTTTTTGTGGCTAAGCTGGTGAATTTTTATAAAAATTACGCAAGCTTTTTATGTTCTCTAAAGGATTCAGTAACTGAAAAATAATTACAAATCAGAATTTAACTCTGTGAATGAGGATTCATCCCTTAATATGTTACCACTTCGGGTTTTGGCTTTCATGGAAAACAGCTAAAAGAAATCAACCTGCTAAAGGGTAATTGGGAAAAGTTATTTTAATGTAATTACAGAATTTAGAGTATAGTAAATATCTGGTCTGTATGCATTTAAAATGTACGTATTGGATTGTGTCCCTCTTAACCTCTCTCCTTTAGTTGTGTTTTTTGCCCTTATATTCTGGTCTTGCATATGCTTAACTTTGGTTGTTGTTAGCTCAGGTGAAGGTGTTACAGGACTCTAGGGCCTTTATAGGGTAAATGAGGGCTGTCTAACTGGAAGCCCAGAAGGGGTTACAGCCTCTGGGTACTCCCTGGGTGCCACACCTCACACCACTCTGGAAACTCCAGGCTCTCCTGTTCTTCCACTTTGGTTTCCTGCAACTGCTCCTGGGGTGTGATAGGGGGAAGGGGAGTACTGACAGTGCAGTGGGGGATCTCACTCACTGTGTAAACCAAAGTGTCCCATAGTCTGTGCATGCGCAGCCCATGAGGTCTGTGGTGCCAATAAAGTTGAACAGTCCTGGTGTAAACTCTTCAGGGCAGGCAGGACTGCATTAGTTTTTGTCTGGTACCTTAGAAGTCAAGGCTTTGTAAGAAAATTTTTTGAAGAATCTTCCATAGTTGCTTCAATATTAAAATCTGTTTAACACACAATCCCGAGAAAACAGCTCACTGTGTACCTAAGTCTTATAATGTACCTTAGATGAACAGCAATTTAAATTAAAACAATAACATTCCATTTTATTCACTTATTCAGATACCATAGCTATCCATTTTTAGAGTGATCTTTTTTCAAACTGGCATAATAATGGTTAATTTGCTTAACTTGGGAAATTTTCTGTAAATATACCTGGTTCAAAGATTATACAGACTTTGATAATTGCTAATTAGCATCATTTTTATTGATGTATTATTTTTCCAGGATAAAGATGCCAGAATTGGCTTTCTCCAAAAGGCAATTGATGTTGTCATAATGGTAACAGGGGAGCCATTAGCAGTGAAGCCAGTCCGTATTGTAGCTGGACATGAACCTGAAAAAACAAATGAATTTCTCCAAGCAATTGGAAAATGCTGTCTCAATAAGGTAGAACCTTACTTTTGATGCTTTACATCTGATTCCCAATATTTTCAGTCCTGTATCTGGCCTTTTAAGATATTGCTATGTTTGATTTGTAGATATGACCAACTTGACTGGCACTTGCCCATGATTTATATGTATAGAGAGATGGCACAATTATTATATTAACTACAGTATAATTAAATTCAAATCCTAATCCTTAGCTTTTGTATTCATGAATCAGATCCTCAAGTCATGTACACTTTGTATATATCATTATTACATTTTACCCTTTTAGTTGAACAGGGAATCCAATTCACTTTATTTACCACGCAATTGCGAAGCATTTTCACATTGGAAGCTTCCGTATTTTAAATAGCCTTGAATGTAGGGCTACTTATTAAGTATTTATTATGCACTTATCTTGAGCTCCTCATCCATAAATGGCCTCCTTGATCATAGTCTCAGCCTTGTCAGTGATCTGATTTAGAGCAGAGACAGATTGAATGCTCTTCCAAAGACTTTCTCTTTCATAAAAAATACAAGTTCAAAACACTTGAGCTTAATGATAGTAAAGAGTTTATGAGGATATTACCATAAATCACTGTAGTATTTGAGGGTTGTACAAAAGGAGGATTTAGGTTGGCTTTGAGCAATAATCTGTTAGTTTTTAAGTTTACCTTACACCTATTCAATAAAACAAGTATGTTAGCAATTCATTAAAAAAATTAAAAAGCTTGAGATCAGGAAAAACAGTGTAGGAACTGAATGACCTACTGTTTCCTTCAGCATTTTGTGATGAGATCAAATATCCTGAAGGTCCTTTCAGCTGACTTGGATTGCCATAATTATCCTATTGATTTTTTTTATTATTATTATGCAGAATATTTAATCTGGTCTGTCCTGTGAAAAGAATCCTGTGAAAAGTCGTCATCTTTATTTTAACTCGGGACTTTTAGTGTCTATTTCACCATGTTGCTTACCACTACTGCAATTGGAGCAAATGTCATTCACGCTCAGATATTAATGGCTGAAAGTGAAAACCCACAAAAACCTATTCTCTGTTTGTACCCCCAGAGAGGATTGGAACAGTCACATACCTGATTCCCCTTAGGGATGATTTCAGTTTTAATGTCTTTAAAGCTTATTCTTTTTCAGAAGATCAAGACTGAACTGAAAAATTCCTAAGGGAATGGGAACCATTGTATAGTAAAATTTGGTTATATAGTACTTGATCACTGTTGTGAACTATATAGATGTACACTGAAACCTAACTTTCACCACCACCATCACCATCTGATTAAAAAAAGTTTGGTTAATAGAGCATGTTTAATGCCACAACGTGCCTTTTAAGGTGAAGGTGTAATAGATGCTTGAAGACATTTTTAACATGATCCCTGATGCCTGTTGGAAGTGCTCCTCAACATAGGTTTCCTTGCATTCTTGTGTTGTCTCCTTAGAAAGAAAATCCACTCACTAAAATGAAGAAACAAGACAGTGTATGTAAATAGAGCTTAATGTAGTTAAGAACATTTAACCAGTCAAACTGTCATGTAATGATTACAAAATAATTCATGTAATTTTTTCAAGTCTAAAGTAACATGATGTCATGAAAACTGCTAGAATTAGGAAAATATAGAGAAAAGTGCAAGAAAGCACTTAATAACATTTAAATGAAAGAAATAGATGGAAACTTCTGACTTCTTTAAAACCATCATGTAGACACCCTTCTGGCTCAGCTGGTGCTCCTCCTGATCCACTGCTCCTCACCCCCAGCCCCCAAGTGTGTGGGACAGGAGGTGGGTGCTTGTGGGGTGGGGTATGTGTCCCCCCCCTCCCCCATATTTGTGCACCCAAAGAGGACATGGTGCTGCAGTCTGGCCAGATTGGCATGGGAGGAGACACTTCTGCAGCCCAGCAGGAGGGACTTGGTGTGGGAGGGTGGACTGTAGCAGCAACACTCATTACTGCCACTGCTACCACCACTAAGACCCCTGCACCAGGGCAGCACAAGCAGCACGAGAAGTAACAGATGGGATGGATGGGTGGGGCCATGCTGCCCTCCCATCCTCCTGCTGCCAGCCACTCATGCACTGGGTTGTGGCTCTAGCCCTGCACTATGACCCAGCTACTGCTACTGCTGTCAAGCTGCCCGTGCTGCCTGCCATCCCATCTTCCCTCTGGGGTACAGCCATGTCCTGAGGGGAGCAGCAGTAGTGGCTGGGCCATGGTGGTGGGGAAGAGGGTGAGTGGAAGGTGGTGGGAGGAGGTGAAGGAACTGCTGTCTTCCACTCCCATCCATTACTCCTTGTGTTACTGGTGGCATGGTTGTCACAGGGGTCCAAGTGGTGGCAGCAGCAATGAGTCTTACCACCCTGCTTGCCTTCCTACAATGGGTCCTGCCCACTGGGCTGTGGAGGTGACTCTTGCCTGTGCTGGTCTTGCCAGTGCAGCCTTGGGCCTGCTGTGGCCACACAAATCTTAGGGGCAGTGTGCCCCCTGTGTTCCCCTGACATGTTGCCTGTGCCCCCACCCACCCCATAGACCTATCTGTGGGGAGCTGCAGGAGCTGCTTCCCATGCTGCCTGGCTGTTGCATGCATGTCTGCACCGCATGCATGTCTGCACCACATGCATGTGGTGCCTCCTGCCTGATCATCTTCCTCCCATTCCCCCCAGCCGCAAGCAGTCCCTTGCCAGCCTGCAAGGGGAAACCTGTGGTTTCCCATGTTTTTCTCCTTTAAAGGAGAATCCATTTTTAAAGTTTGTTTGTGACCCTTTCATATATTCTTGCGACCCACAGGTTAAGAAACAGGTTGATGTAGACTATTGTGTTTAATTTGACTAGATTTTTTTTACATCTCTGCTTGTAGTTATCCAGTGATGATGCTGTGAAAAGGGTCCTTGCTGGGGAGAAAGCTGATATCAAGGGGAAAACTCCATCTTCTTCTAAATTTCAGGACAAAGAAAATAGAGAATCCAGGGCAGAAGAACAAAAAAGCCATAAAGATAAAGAGGTGGGTTTTGCATCCTTTTGGGGGGGAAAATTACTTAGTTTTAGATTCTTGGATGGAAAATATTGTATAGTATACCTGCCTCAGAACTTTAGTTGTAATCATATTTTAACTTTGTTTTTAGGGTAGAGGCGACTCTGAAATAAAAGACAGAAGCACAAGCAGAGACAGAAAACCTAGAGAAGAACTGAAAGATGGAGAGACCAGACAAAGAGAAAAGGAAAGTGACAAGCATAAAGATAATGACAGACGCACAGGCCTTGAAAGGGACAATATTAAGGAGGGTGAAAAACATGAGAGAGACGCACACAAAAACAGAACAGCTAAACAAGGAAGAGAAACAGAAAAAAGTAGACACAAAGAAAAAGGCAATACTGAACGAGAGAAAGACCTGGGCCATGATAAAGGACGAGAGAGAGACAGAAAAAATGAAGGGGGAAGAGAAAAGGACAGAGTGAAGGGCAGAGATAAAGACTGTGAGAAAGGTCTGAATAGGGAAAAAGACAGGGAAAAACGAGAACGTGGTAAAGATGGGGAACGTTCAAGAGAACAAGGAAAAGATAAAGCAGAAAAAAAGGTAAAGCAAATCTTATTTGGGGGAAGAAACATGGTTTTCTCAGCTTTATTGTGTGAGTATTGAACCTATAGTAAGTTTGCATGTAGCATCATCTAATAACTAATAACTGTTAACCACAAGCAAGTTCATTTGCTTTCAAAGGCAATATTTTTCACTAAACGAAGTTCACTATAGAGTTGGTTTGCTCTTTTAAATAATAAAAGAGGCTCTTCCTTCAAAGCCTCCTCTCCCTCTCACTTTTTATTTGTCCTGGTTAGCACTGAGCAGGATTGAATGTGCATGTGCAAACACTGTTTCCATACTTCAGCTACAAGCTAACATTTAAAAGGAGGTATACCAGTCTCTTCAGAACTATTAAAAATGACTCCTGGCAAGGAGAACTTTGGAAAATAAAACCTAGAAGGTGCCAGGACACTTTGCATTTCGGTTGAAGGCTTATGTGTTCTACTTAAAGATCCTGGGCTTTTGGTTTCTGTAAGTAACTATGCAACCAACCTCCTCTCTTCAAGCAAAAGTCTGCCATTACAAATATTGAATTATACCCAATCTTTGTGGACATAATCTTGTCTAAGTAAGACAAATAGTTTGGCAACAGCATAATATGTAAAAGAAAGGAAAGTTGCGGTAGTCCTGTTACAAAAAAGGAGTAGGGGGAAGGACTCTAGAGCTTTCCTCTGTAATGAATGGGGAGTGGACAGTATATGGAGTGTCCTGAGAGCATCATCCTGGAAGACAGCTTTTCCAGTGAGATCCGCTGTGTTTGATAATGTATACTTTTTAACTTTTTCCACCTGAGATTCTAAATTAGGGGACATCAGGGACATCTGAAGTATGAGAACAGGTTAACAGTGTTTTGTGTGAAAAAACAAATGTATAGACTTGGCCCCCAATCTAGAGTCTTCCTTTTCTCACTGAGATTTGCTCAAAAAAGACATTATTTCATATTGAGTTTTACATGTTCAGTTTATCAGTGGAAACATCCTTTGGTGTTTGGTGCCATCTGGGTTTTTATACAGGCACTGCACTGTAGCAAAACCTTATTGGAGAACTCTTGTTTGCTTGGAAGGATTCACCTTATGCCAGTAATGACTGTAGGTAGGGCCCTACCAAATTCATGGTGGGAGTGGGCTTCTCTTTAATCTTGCAGGTTTCCCTGTAGGCCCCTCTGCCACTGATTGGTGAAGGGGCCTCGCTTGCGGCTTGCTCTTGATTGGCGGGGAGGCAGAACTTCAGTTTTAAATTTGGTGCCATTTTTGCCGCCCACCACTGATTGACTGAGGGGCCCTGGCAGCTCCGCTGCTTGCTGCTGACCAGCAGGGAGGCAAAAATTATACTATGCTGCTGCAGCAGCATTAAAAATGGACCCACCTGAAGGGATACGAAGGGCTGCCCTACAGAGGGACAGAGTATGGAGAGACAAACTTTGTCCCAGCAGGAACACCATTTGCCCTGAGGGCAAGTGAAGCTGCTCTGGAGGCAGCCCTCTTTGTAGTGGGAGGAGTGATGTGTAACCCCAGCAAGGTTTGAATGAGAGTGACCTTAGCAAAAGCCCAGGAAGAGCCCTGGCCTGGGATTGGCTGAGGGGGCTTGTTTAATGGGAGAGGGAAGCAGTTTTTCGTGGGGAAGAACAAAGGGGAAGAGGGCCAGGCTGGAGGTCAGGGAAAGGACCTCACCATGGCTATGGCCTAGCACAGCTCTGGAGAGGTAGTGTGGAGAGGCTGCATTGGGGAGAAACAGGGCATGCTTTCTCCCTCTTGCCCCCTTGGAGTCCTTCCAGGGCAGACACGAGAGAGGAGCTGCCTGTGAGGAGACCCTGCTACAAACCCTGTGTGGCTGGGGACCGTAGGAGTGGAGCCACCACCTGCTGCATTGAGACCCCTGGAGCTTGTGAGAGGGACGCAAACAGCAGGGGCTGTCCACAGCTTCTGTGCCAGGGACACAGACGCAGTTCTGCTCTCCGAGACACCCAGCCAGGGGCAGTGTACACAGGGTCCTCACAGTTACCCTGGAACATATCAGATAGAGACTGAGTGTGTAAATAAGTTCCTGATAGTTTATTAGTTGGTGTATCAATTTAGTTACTTATTGGTTCCTTATTGATGGTGGGTAATTTGTATACCTTCCCCTGGTGTAATGTGCATCTAAGAATCATTAACCCTTAAGCCACCATCACCAGGTTATGCCATATAACACTTGTTTTATTACATTAGTTATATGTTATCTTGGAAATATATTCTGTAAATAGTTTTACAGCGGTCTGCAAGGTTGTTTTGATTGTAAAGGGAGGCTCTCCACTCAGGAACCCTGCAGCACTTACCCAGGGAGCTGAGCAGGGCTTCCAGCTACCCCAGGATCCCACTATTCAAGTGAGGGTGTGGGTAGCATCATGCCTAGGGTTACAGTGTGGGGGCTCATCCGGGATCTCCTGGTGGTGTACCATGCTTAATAGGCACCACGTGCCCATAGTGGAGCATCTCCCCCACCTTGCAGCCGGCCTGTGATTTGCTTTTCCCCCCCAAAAATTGTTTTTACTCCACTGTGGGAGTACTGGTGTAAGGGTTCCCAATTGTTATGGCCATGGCAGAGCTTCTGCAGTGGTACACGGAGCTGCAGGTGAACCCAGGGAAGGCGCTTGAGATTACCAATATTCCCAAGGACCTTTCAGCAGAAGCCATTCAGGATCTGCTCAGGGGGTCTTCTTGATGCCTTGGACTATGCCAGGTGCAAGGAGTCCTCCCTGATAAGAGAGGGGACCATCAGATGATGGTGTGTGAGCTGACAACCACAGTGGATGCCCTAGGTATTTCCCCGGTGCTGGAGGTTGCGGATGAGGAAGTCTGGACTCTAACTCTAGTAGATAGGGGGCCTGTGCCCCACTCAGACTCTGGAGGCAGCTCTGAGGAACCCTCCCCTAGGGGACTGAAGGCCCTGCACCAGCTGCCCTGTCTGGGAGTGGGATAGGCTCCGGAGCACCAGACCCAGAGTGGGCAAAGGCGTTGGGAAAAGCCCTGAAGGAGGCCCTCCAACCATCACCTGAGTCGTTTGCCTACAAGAGGCTTCTCGTATTTTCAGGGAAGGACCCACTCCCTCCAGGGGAAGAGACTTTTCAGGCATGGCATTCCCACATGACGGAGACTTTGGCCTTGTGGGCAGTCTCAGAAGAGGAGAAGCAGAGGCGGTTGCTGGAGAGTCTCCGAGATCCAGCTTTTGAAGTGGTTCAAATGATTAAGCTGGAAAACTCCAGTGCATCAGTTCTTCAGTATCTTGACCTTCTGTCTAGCGTCTTTGGGAAATCAGTGCAAACTGAGGCTTTGTTTCTGGAATTTAACAGAACGTACCAACTAAAAGGGGGAGATAGCCTCAGCCTACATCCTGTGGTTAGAGAAAGTATAACAGCAGCTAGTGGCCCGAGGAGGACTAACTCTGGAGATGGCTGGCAAAGCTCGCTTGCAGCAGCTCCGGGTAGGGATACTTTATGATGAACAACTGGTGAGGGATCTCAACCTCACTAGGAGGAGAGAGGATCCTCCTATGTTTGGGTATTTGCTTTGGGAAATGAGGGAGGCTGAAAGCCTATGAGCTGTAAAGGCATCCATCAAAGCTCAGGGGTTTGACCGCGGCTCCATACCCACCACGACCATTGGTTGTTGAAATGCCAATGGCGCCTGACTTTGACAATGATGCTCCAGAGCCACTAGCCGTACTGTACCAGTGAGCCCAGGTGACACGAGGAAGTCAGCCCAGGGCCTCCCAATGCTCCCCAGCTATCAGGTCACAATGACTCTGCCAGCCCATGGGGAAGGCAAAATTTTGTTCACACAATCAATTTAGTATCGGCCTCTTGAAGGCTCAGATCAAGTGTAGTACCAGGCTTAGTTGGCTAACATTGTATTTTCTGTAACCTAGTTGCGTTCCCCTCCCCATCCCTCTTATGTTAATCCCTCGCTTGGGCAATGTGTATTTCCCTACTGCCTTTGTCATCTTTGTGGATTCACAATCCTAAACATCTACTAATAAAATTCAATCTGTTCTTATCAGTTTAATAAATTTAGTTACTTATTGGTTCCTTATTGATGGTGGGTAATTTGTATACCTTCCCCTGGCATAATGTGCATCTAAGAATCATTAACCCTGAAGCCACCATTGCCAGGTTATGCCATGTAACATTTGTTTTATTATATTAGTTATATGTTATCTTGTAAATAAATTCTGTAAATAGTTTTATAATGGTCTGCAAGGTTGTTTTGATTGTAAGGGGAGGCTCTTTGCTTGGGGACTCTGCAGCAGTTACCCAGGGAGCTGAGCAGGGTCACTGGCTACTGTGTATCCCAGGATCCCACTATTCAGGTGAGGGCGTGGGTAGCGTTGTGCCCAGGGTTACATTTAAAACCACAGTTTTCACTTCCCTGCTGATCAGGAGCAAGCTGCGAGCAGGGCCCCTCCACAATAAGCAGCAGGGAGGCTGTGCAGGACTTAAAGAATCTTTAATTCTCTGGGGGAACCTGCAAGATTTAAAGAAGCTGCAGCTCAGCCTACTTCCACCATGAATTCAGTAGGGCCCTATCTACAGGATGTCAGCTGAAAAAAGAGAGAGAAAAAAAATAATTTTATCACCCTCAGAATTGCATTTAGTTTCTTTAACCCAAATACAGGTCATTCAATGTATCCTTAAGTATTACAGTGGTTGGATATAAATCAGTTGTCTCATTTCAGTTCACAGAATCAGAGGAAACTAGAGCAAGGAAGTCTGCTAAAGACACCAAGAATGAACCAAACAATGAGGTTAGTATTGCGGAAGACATTTTAAAAGTAGATATCTAAGTATTGTCTTTTTAGAATGTATTAAGTTAGGTTTTGGTGAGTCTTTCATACATGAGGATTATTATAATTCAGGAAAAAAATGCTTAAATTGAATGAAAATGCTTACAAGATTCTAAAGTCTTCATGCTGAAGTGCTGTCAGCTTAAATCATATGACACACTTCTTATATGACTAATAATAGTCATCCTGTTTGAGCTATTCATTCATTCTTAAATTTTCTCTGTGCTGGGATGATAAAAATCAGTGAGCCTCACTTTTAAGTACTGCAATATTTGGGTTTGGACACTAAAAGGGAAATTTATTTGTACAGAAACTGTTGTTACATATGTTTTGGAACCTTTATTTCTTCTAAGTTTTATAACCTCTTTTATTACAAAAATGTTTTTACAGATGCTATGTTGTTTTATTACAAAATGGTAATTCTAATAATGCAAGTCATCTTAGAGGGTTGACTCATTGGATTTGAATAGAAAGGAAGGAGGGTATGATGTCAACCAGTTGGTTGCCACTGAACAGTAGCTGCAGGTTTTCTCTTGCTTTTAGTGAAGCATCTTGTCTACATCTGTCTCCTGTTGACTGCAGAGAGTTTTGGGAGTGGCTGGTCTACGCAGCTACTTCTTTAGAAATGGAGACTTTAAATTATGATAAAGCACTAAAAATTAGAAAAAATAAAACTAGTTGATCCCAAGTCTAGCAGTCGTCCCTGTAGGGAGTCTGTGGACTCTTGATATCATCGTGTCTTCTGTTCTGGATGACAAATTTTATAGCCATTCTTTGACTAAAATCAAGCCTAACTTTTCAAAATATTGGCACTTGAAATGAGAGCTTATAAACTACTTTTAAGCCTGAAGCAATTTTTTATGGCCAAGTTAAACTTCCTGCAAATTGGGATTTCTAATGGAAATTCTGAGGCTGATTCCAAACTATAGCAATGCTCTTGGGCATCACAATAATATACTAGTGTAATAAAGTTCCATTTCCTTTCTTAAGTGCTTTTTGGAATTATTCCAGGGAATTTTGGTTTATTATTTTAAATTTAGGTGGCATGCTTTTCCTTCTCTTACTAGCATAACAGAAGACACTGCTTAGCCTACAGGTGATGAAAACATGCACTATAGACCTATGTAGAAAAAATGGCCACCTCTTTAGCAGTATGGAAAGAGTAGAATTAAAATGTTCTCAGTGAATCCTTGGACATGGAGAATTAAGATCATCACCCAAAGTGATTTAGGATATTTCCAAAACAAAAGTATTGAGAAATTGATCTTAATAGACTGGGGCTGATCATCCCATCATTGCAGTAGTTTCACTCCAGTGTAAATGCCTTGATTTCCATGGAGTTACTTGTGTTTTGGACCTGGCCTAACTTCATTGAAGTCACTTCATTGCAGCTGTAAAACAGGTGTAGTAATAACGGAAAACTGGGCCAAAAAATAGTTACATGAGTATATGTAAAGATTTTAATAGCAGTATTTCATTAGTTTTACTGCATAGTTTCTTTACTTTAATATCTTTTGAACTCTAAAAAAAAATCAATCCATGGTTTATCAAGCATTTTGAAACAATTCTTTAGAAATTTAATCATTTGAATTGTGCCATGGTGCAAGATTAGTTTTACGTAGAGCAGTCTTCACTTGTCATGACACATGGCTATACGGATTATAATGTAATGAAGTAAGTCCTAAATCATGTTGTGTCAGTGATTTTATTTGGAGAATGGATATTTTTATTTAAAAAGAAAATAAGTTGCCTTGCTTCCTAGTTTGAAACATCAGATTATGGAAACAATAACTTCACATTCCTAAGCATTACTGCTTTTGACTCTTGTATAATTAGAACCTGAGCCTCCTGCTTGTGTATCTCTATCTATATTACACATAAAAGTACATTTAAAGGACTTTAAGGGCACAAAGTAAAGCACTCAAAAGTTAAGAAATGCCAGACATAGGGTTGTATATAGTTTTATTGCGATAGTGTTTAATGATGAGCTAATATGATATTCATGTCCTCAGAATTTTTGTCTTTCTTAATACACATGGGCACTTCTGTGGCATTCATCCCTGTGGTATCTGAGTACTTAAAAAATGTTCATTACACTACCAAATATTTAGCAAAATGCATCTCATCTGTCTGTGTAACTGGTTCACAATAAACAACAACCTACTTCTTGTTGGCATCCTTTTTGAACAGCTAAGGAACAAAGGCTTTCTAAGAACCCTTAATTTGGGGTTTTCAATAAGTTGGGACTAACTTTTTTCTGAATACTCAGTACAATATAGCTCTTTATTGAAGCAGTTCCCATTTATTTTAGTTGCAGTTGTGAGTGCTCACCACATCTACAAACCAAATCTTTTATCTCATGTTTGTTCCTCAGGAAGTGAGGAGCATACAGTTTGTGGCTATGTTTGGAAAAAAAATTAACCAACTTTCCAAGTATCCTTAGAATTTCTCCAAAGTAGAATTCAGCTGCCTTTAACCCTGACACTCTCCTTAATTTTCCTGTAATCCTCATTCTCATACATTATACATCTTTCAACTTGTGCAGTGATGAAGCAGGGGATTGATGGAGAACAGCCTCCTTGACTACAGAAACCTTATAGATTCTCAGAGTAGATTTATCTCTTGTACGAAATGGAGCAGGGGCCACAAGGACACAATAGTATATAATCATGTTATTAGAGACTGTGTTTTAAAATGTGTACGTACATGAGGACCACATTAAGGTTGCAAAGGCAGGCTTACTTCTGGTATTTCCTAACTTTTGAGGACTTGACTTTGCAGCCTTATTGTTCTTAATGTTTTGTATGTAATTTTTTAGGTTTTTAAAGACGCAAACTTTACTGTGTGGCAGAATAGACGCCCTCATGGTTCATTGCCAAAGATAGAATTTTCAGGTCGACCACATAAACTTCTGCCACTAGAGCAAAAGAAGTTACTGATAGCAGAAGTAGGCTGTTGCTTGCTGTGGACCAGTTACATAGGCACATGGGGTGTGCTCCTTCATATATTTCACGGATGTTTCCTGACAGCAGAGCAAGAGTAACACTTAAGAATTTGAGGGTCCATTTCATACTCTGGAATGAATTATGCTGTAGTGGTCACACAACCTTCTGTCTATTTTTTTTTTCTCTCTGTCTCTCTTTCTGTAAATTTTGACCTCCTCTGCCCTGTCCTTCTCCCCATCCTGTTTTTTTTATTTAGGTCTGGCTTCTACACCTGGCACGTACTCCTCATGCTTCTTGTCCATGTCTCTGCTCACCAATCCATGTCTCTCTCTCCCTTCTTTCTCCAGACGCTAGGCTTCTTGTCCCCGTCTACTTCTCTTTATTCAGGGTCTGCAAATTGCCTCTGCTGGGTGTGTGGCAGTTTCCTGTTATACATATTCTGGGTGTCAGCAGGTGGGCAGTGAGAGCACTAGTGAGAGAGAGAGGCCCCCTTCTCTCATTTGTGATGCCTGGAGAGTTTCAAGTTGAATGTCTTGTATATTGCGGTCTTCTGGAAAACTGTGTTTAGAAATACCTTAACTATTTAAATATGCAGTAAAGCTTTCACTTAGACCTCAATTGTTTAAGATCTGAGTTCTGGGCAAGATTCTATTTGTTCTCTTTTCTTCCTCAAAAGCATAATATTTTTCTTGCTATTTATTCTCAAAACTCAGTGGTGATGTGTACAGGGTGCACTGGGGTGCCATGCACCCCCTGAGAGCTCTGGTGCACACCCAGATAGGCCGTGCTCCCCGCTTAGGTGACGGGCATGGTGGGCGGGCAGGAGCACCGGTGTCCCCCCTTGTGAGCATTGATTGGGGAGTGGGAGCTTTGGATGAAGCATTTTGGACACTTCCAGGAGTGCCGTGGCCGCTTCCCGGTTGGTGCAATCAGCCGTGGGGGGACCCCTCCCCCCGGTCGGCGAGATTGGCTGTGGGGGACCTGCCCTGGTTGCTGACTTGTTACTGGGAGGGGCACATGCCCCCCTGACTAAAGTGGCACCAGTCGCCCATGTCAAAACTGATGAGAAAATACCCACAAACTTTAACAGTTTAAATTCCCCCCATTTGACATCGCTTGTGTGTTGGTATTAGACAAACCCTGTCTTTCATCCAGCTAATGGCAGTGATGGCTTGGGTATCTATAATTAATTTTCCAAAATTAAAGGTAATCTCAGTGGGAGCTAAAAGGAAATGTTTGGATAATATACAGCAGATGATCTTAGACATGTATCAGAAAAATAACATCTTAATTGGAAGCAGGTTGTTTATCGCTTTTAGAGAGATGGATAGCCATGTTTGTGCAAAGTCAGTCAGAAGGTAGGGTAGGGTGCCACCTTAGAGACTAACTGGTTTCCCTTGATACCTAATAATTTCTATTCTCTAAGGTGCCACCCTGCCCTGCTTTCTGCATCACTTTGTGATCAGAGAAAGTGAAATTATACTTTTTTGTTTTTTATTTTCCTTGGTCCAGTTTTACTAAATAGATTTATTTTAAAATAGATGTATCCATTGCATAACTGCTTCTCTTCTAAACAATAAAGGTGACTTTGTTTGTCAAAGGTTTTTGACAGAAAGGAGATCCAGGATTTAGGTGGACCTTCTGAAACATATGGTGCTGTTTATATGAATGTGGCTAAAGAAGTTGGATAGGTATGTTGGTTACCCCTAAAGCAAAACACATTGAAAAAGTATGCTTTAGTTTGCAGATGGCCATTGTAACTTTTGGCTGAAGCTCTTTCTAATATCCTGTCACTTTTGTCCACATATGTGGTGACTTTTGTTATTGCCATACAACCTGTATTGCTCTGGAACTAGTCATTGGAATCATCTGCTAAGTTGCATCTAATGAACTTCTTTCAAAGGAAAATTTCTATTAGAAATGATTTTGAATATCTAATAAAGTGATTTACTAGATCAAAGATAAGTTAGCTACCCTGAGAGAAACAAAGACAGTAGTTGCATAGAGCTGTTTTTTGGAGGTTTTCATAAGTATTTGTTTTGTATGATTCTGGCATCAGTTATTCACAATCATTTCATATAATTGAGGTTAAACATTAACATTTTTAATTTACCAGTCAACATTTTCTAAGCCATAAAAATTCCTTTTTGTCTGATGGGAGCTAGGTGGTATTAACTAAAGTTGGCAGATACTGCATTTCAGCCTACTGACTTAAGTTTATCAGGAGGTAATAAGATATTGATATTTTCTAAATAAGCTATACAAATGAAAGCTTATTTGGGCCTTGACAAATGTTGATCTTTCTGGGTTGTTGTTATGCATTTCAAATGATGTTTCTTTCATGTTTGAGAAGGAGAGAAAGATCCAGGGAATTCTTCAAGTGTTCCAAGAAAGCGTATTAGAAATTAATTGGGTTTTGTTTCCACAATAGTGGTACAGCTGTTTGAATCATGTGCTGAATAGCTTACAGTGATGCACACAGCGAGTGAGAGCTATTGTATAATTTACAAACAAATCACAGTGATATAGTATTGTTAGCATATCAGAGCATCCAGTAAGATTCCAAAGCGATGAGTGAATTTGAATTAATCCCGAGAATAGGAATTTGAAAGATACATTTTAATGTAATATCAGGCCATCAGTGGCAATGGATTTATAAAGGGGAAAAGCTTACAGCTGATATCCTTTAAAAACAAGTAAGTTGTTTGTCTTCTCTTGTGTGGAGACCCTTTTTCCCCTCTGGTAGCTAATGATCCCTAGAATTGTATAAGTAGTCTGCTAGTGCATGTTGGTTCAGTTTATATCTCCATAGTGGCTCCAAATGCTTTGGTTACCAGCCATTTTAGGTATGACCCTAGACTTGATAAAAATCAATAAATAAATTTAGCCTTTCAAAAATGAGGGAAATTGTCACCACTTATAAAGTCAATTATGCCTTCATAATTTGGAAGAAAACTAAGGTATTCTGATACACTACTCTGTTGTCTTTGATTTCATAGTTGATTGCTTAACCTTCAGACAGCATAGATGCATAAAAATCACTGTGCCACCGATCAGGTCCTGAACAGATTTTGTGCCCCTGAGGGGTCTCACTTCATCTTGTGCTATTTTTTTTGTGGCATGAGTCTTAGATGCCAGGTATGTTATGAAGGGGCAGGGAAGTTGAGAAGAAGGGAAGCTACAGGGACAAAGAGAATGTGTCATTGGAAAAGGATATGAATTGTGTCCCTCAAGATTGTTGACTTGCTAATCCAGTGATTAGACAGCATTGCCATTTGGGGTTTGGATTAGAAAATTGGCTGAGTTTCTACCCAGGGAATACTTCTCTTTATGACCTACTATATTTCTATCAACGAGCTTTGCTTAACACGTAAGTAGAGCTGTCAAAGGATTGGAGGAGTGAGATCAGAGGTCTGAGTAATGGGTTAGCTGCTGTAGTGCAGAATGTTATACCCTTCCAAATGTATACAGGTATAACTAAATGTATGCAAATATAACTATGCAACTAGCAAATATTTCTTGGGCCACATTCTTAATTAGTTTGCCAGACTATTGTAAAAGTAACTGTAAAGTAAAAACTGACTCCATTGATTACTTTTGGACACCCTGGAGCCTCTTAACTTGTGAGAGAGCTCTTTTCATCTTTGGTTGGAAATAATTAAATGATAAACATTGTAGTTTCTATGTTTTTGTGTCCTTCCCTAGTGATAAACATTAGCTCTTACTTTGCACCTGTTGCTGTGTGCACATGCTGCACAAAAATGTAAAACCGTGCATGCGATTACTGACCGACAAATTTAATTGCCTAAATCAACTCCATGAGAAGTCTTTCCACCTAGTCCCAACTTTTCCCCACCTGTGCTAATACTTGCATCGCCAAAAATTAAGAGAAAGTTTGACTAAACCACATGTGTCCCTGAAGGCTTTCAAGCAGATGCTGATGGAATGTAAGGTTTTCTTTTTGCTTCTTGTATTATATTTTAAGAGTTAATATAGTAATAAAATAATTAAAATAGGCCACTTTAATAATATGTTTTTATACTCTTATCTGTGTATTAATATGTATTACTACTTTCTAAATAGAGTGAATCCAAAATATTGTGTATTCAGATACAATTACTGTTAACAGTAATAATTTCACCAAAACATATTTATGTCAAAAGCAGTTTATTTGCTCGGTACCCCCTATTTTCCATTTCACTAGTTCCTGCATTGCTTACAGTTTAACACATTTGTGTTTGGTTTTTTTATTACAAGCTTCCTGAAATTCTGCAAGCAGAGGTATTCAGTACAGCATTTTTTGGTGGAAAAAATGCTATAAACATCTTTATTTCTGTTTTTAGATTGCTTAAGCTGGTTATAAAAGCTGGTGTGTGTGTGTATTCGTGTTCTCATAGAGTACCTACAAATAGCTGGAACAATCAAATAAGCACAAATACTATGAAATATTTTTAAAATGTTTTATTAATTAAGTGTCCCTTGTGTGTTTATCCAGAAATCCCATTACATTAATGAGCATTATTACTGCTAAAGAGGAAATGTTACCTTCTAAATACAAATTAAAAACTTACAACTTAACATCTAATCTTTGCTTTCTTCCTGTTACTTATCTTTTAAATTCTGTCTATTGGGTGCACTATCCTCAGCTTTTAGAAATCAACTGCTGCTCCTACCATACCTTTATCATTATTTCTCATATATTCTTTTTTTAAATGTTCCTTTATTGAAGTTACAAGCAGGAGTTCCAATATACTACAGATAAAGTAAATATTTTATACTGTTTTGTTTAGAGCAGTATTTAGTTTTGGGGTATTGTTGAAGAATTTTTATTATAAACATTCGGAAATAACATGATTATCATTTGTATCATGAGACTGTGCATTATTGGTTGGCAGTAAATTTTGGATCCAGAATAGGTGAGCTATTAAGCTTTCAGAGTACAAGTAGCATTTGGAAAACAAATTAGGGAGAAATTCTTAAGGCTAAAAATCCTCACATATGTTTAGCAGCCAAGATGCGGAGATACCTTACAAGGATGGTGAATACGGGGAAGTAAACTGCATTCTGTAAATCATTTGTACTTTATCACCTCGTACTGCTTAGTTTCAGTCACTTCATTTTATTTAAAAATGTAGATAAAGGACATTTCTGTGAAAGAAAAGTGAAGTTGGTAGAAGCATAGTGAATGATATTCATAATGAATGACTTAGCAGAAGCTAGTGCCTGTTCTGTTCACTGTGCACTACTGAATGGCACCCCAACTTTCATCACTGTGTCAGTCCATCATTGTTTTTGCAAGTGAGAAGAAGACTTCTCTGAAAGTTTTGGGGTTATTTGCAGGCTAGGAAATAACACAATTGTCTTTCTTTGAACCTGTCTTCCATCATATCCAAATTCTGGTCATGGAGCAAAGATTCTTGGATGACCTAAGCCTGCCTACAGAATCATTTCAAGATCCTCCCTTACACCTCACACTGAAGTATTGGAGTGCCATTAGCATACATGCTCCAAACTGTGTGTGTAATGGGCCTGTCCAGTACTCGACTGTTAACAAAGGTAATCATCACAGACCTGGCTGAATTCCCACTGCTGGACATTTCCTAGGATGCTGTGTTTGGAGCCTGTCTATTGGAAATGTATTTAAGCTCTCCCAGTTCTTGCTACTACTGTGCCTGTGTTTGGTCTCTGACATACCTTCTGCGCACACATTCTGTCTGTTACCCCTATGTGAGTTTGACCTCACAGTTCATTTGCCCTAGACTCCCAAGCCCTAGGGTTGATCTCCTTCTTCCTCCCCCAGTACCTACATTGAGATCCAACATTGTGGGTGCTCTGCTGTTCCACTCATCTCTGTTAGGGTCACATGATAGTTGCAATAGGTAACACACAAACTTTGCAGAAGGAATTTGGAAATTTAACAGCACAAGATGTATACCAATCCTGATGCAACACCTGTGTGGCACTCCTTGCCTGCTCATTACCACTCCAGAGCATTCTTTAGACGTAGGTCAGGGCCCTTCAGAGTGGCCAGGATCTTCCTCATGCACAGGCTACTTTTCTGCTTCTGGTTTCTTCTTCCTCTCCTGAAGAGGCTGGTTGTCCTGTAAGGTTACAGCATCCACTATCAGGTAATACCTAGATCATCTTCACCATGGTATCATAGCTTTCCACCAACGATGTATTGCCTGTTTACAACCATTCTTGTCAAAACTATTTTTCCTAGTCTGCCTGTCTTCTTTGTCCAAGGTTGTTCATCTGAATAGAAGCCTAAATTCAACAATCTGGTTTTAGTCCTTTTTCACCACCCCTTGAATTTCATCCCAAGATTGAGGTAAAAATCCTACAGAGAAAGTAAGCTAGCTTCACAATTGAAACAGAGCTTATATTTTGATAGAGATGCGTACAGAACTAGTCCCTTGTCCATAGACAGATCCCCTCAGTTGCTATGCAGACTCCTAGGATGCCCTATTCCGAGCAGTGGTAGGCTACCACAGGCTGTTCTAAAAGTTGTGACAGCCAGTGTTGTCTCCTCAAAATAGTTGCAATAGCCTTTCCATCCCAAGGTTGCCAAATGCATTGGAGTAGTTTCTTTGCAGATTCAGGAATACATTGGTTACATTTAACTCACTTTTAAAGATGTGCAAATATACCTCTAACCAAGTTTTAGCTTTTTTGTTTTACTTGTGAGTTTAACAGGGAAGATTTCTGCTGATTGTGCATGGTTTGATCTTCTGTTTGTGTGCTGGAGCTGTTTGTGTAATGAAATATAATGTGCAGGGTTTTTTGTTTTTTGTTTTTTTTAAAGAGTGAAAGTCTTGCAAGATTATCAAGGCAGCATTCAACAAAGGGGTCAAGGCACCGGTCCAAACCCGGAGGAGAAGGTAACTGGAAAGAATATTTTTCTATTAAATAAGCTTGAGGGATATGAATAGAAATGTCATTAATTTTAAGTGACCTTTTTGACTTTTGCTTGTGTGTGCTGAATGCACATAACCTGCATTTATGAATCCAGATGTCAGTTTTTCTACATAGATAGTGTTGGTGGATGTAGTTGCCCACTCCAGTGTGTCAGCATTTTCCATACAAATTTTTAGAGACTAATTTAGAAGTAAATCGTGTAATGCTTTGCTCCATACGGTGTCAGGACTAGATGAATGTTTCTTCTGAAACTTTGTGCACCTCAGTTTTTATTCTGATACGGCAATGCTGAAAACAATGTTACTGAATGTTTTGTATTTCTATTTCATAAAGGTACGTACAACACTTTTTGGAAAGCTTACACTAATTTTACATTAATTTTCTTTCAAGTATGCTTTTTACTCTGGTATTGTTGTGCCTTTGCAAGACCCTAAGTTACTAAGGAACTCAGCACGGCAAAACATAGTGTTTCCTGGTAACCTGGAAACTGACTGCTTATCTAGGAATCCAGGATTTCACAATTAAATCTGTTGGTAAGACCTGGACAAAGAAGTATATCTTGAGGCTGTTCTTCAGTGTGGCTGGGCGCATGCATTTTAACTTACAGCAATGTAATAAACAGTACAGCAAGTTGGGCACAAATATGATGGCCTTTTGATGAGATCACCATATTCAGAAGGTGGTTAGATGAATTCTGCACTATCTAGGCCTTTTTGAGTAATTTTTGCGCATAGCTGTAATCCACCTCATGGATTGAAGAAATGTGGGTGATTGTGGCATTCTTCATCTCTGAAGGGATGGAACACAATTTCTTCATTGGTCATAAATTATCCTCTTCAATCAAGTAAAATAGAGGATTTAAGTAAGATCCCTGGATTACAGACCATTTTGATGACTGTTAGGGAAAACTCTCCTAATTGCTGAAACAAGTATGTATTTGGTCACATCCTCAAAGTGTTTTCCCCAATTTCTGCATCAGTGTAAACTAGATTAATCTTAAACCAGTATTTTTTTTCATTCTGATCTGTTTTTGCCTAGATAGTCCAGTTCCGAAGAAAGGCATTGTCATCATTTTTTACTTCATAATCTCTGTGACCTACCACAGGGGTCAGCAACCTATAGCCCACAGGCCAGATCTGACCTATGGAGCTGGGGCTTAAGTGGCATTCAGTGACAGGGTGGGGGCTTTGCCTGATGCTCTGTGGCTGGGCAGCCAGGGAGCAGGGACCTTTCCCATGCAGCATCACAGCGAGGCAGTGGGGAGAAGCAGTGACAGGGAAAAGTAGCAGCAGCAGCAGCCAGTTTATAACACAGACCTATCCAGTACCTGAGCTGGGTCATTCCAGCTGACTGCTGCAAAATTTTGCAAACTGTTGTCCTACAGTGTTTACAAGTAAATGTTAGGGAGCATGGTGACAGAGTTGAGTCTTGTGGGATTCTACTGCAGCCTGTCTTTGGGAAAGAGTCAGATACTCCATTTGCTTTCTGGAAACAGTCCGGAAAGAATGAGCACAGCTAATCAAGGGTCATTCTGTCCATGCCTACCAGGATTTGCAGCAGCCAGCGCAAAGCTGATCAACCCTGATCAGGATCTTGAAGCCTGAATGGATAAGATCACGAGGCTGTTTGATGTTTGTGTGATTTGGCTTCTCTGATCCTCTCTTCTTTCAGTGAAGGGAGATGGAACTTAAGAAGGTAGTCAACTCAGATATTCATGTCAGATGTGGGTCCCTTAAAGGCCTGAAGATTTGGACTTCGTAGGTTGAAAGATGTGTTTCATAACACAAGCCCTTTTGAGAGAAGTTCTAGTATATCTCTATAGCAGTGGTCACCTACCAGTGGATCTCAGTCCACCGGTAGATCTTGGAGCCTCTTGGAGTTGATCTGAGGCTGGAGTGGGAGTATGAGTGCCTGTGCGCGTGCCTGCGCGTGCCCAAGCCCAGCAGGTCAATCCATGGGGGAGGGAAGGGGTGTGGGCTAGACCAAGGCTGCTGTGGTGAGGGACAGTGCCGCAGAGGCAGGAGCAGGGTAAGTTGAGTGGGGCCTTGGCCAGGTGAGACTTACCTCCTAGGGAGGTGCACCCCCAAATATTTTTTTTTCTTTCTCTGCCTCAGTCCGCCTCCCCCCACTCCCCACAGACTTACCTGCTGGGCGCAGGGGGAGGAAGGGAGGGCATTGGTGGTGGCAGTGCACGGTAGAGTTTGAGCTTCTTTTAAATGCCAAAGGTGATCTCCTACTTAAAAAAGTTGGAGATCACTGCTCTATAGCCTTCTGCCACACATGCTGGCCCTATGTCCAGTTTGTATGTAGTTAGAAATGCTCTGTAGAGTTTTGTCAAGGTCTATGTTGGGGCCTAGTTTGAATTTAAAGTAAGGGTGGAGATATATCAGTCTTTAAGAAGCCTTCAAGCCCTACACAGCATTAGGTATATGCTTCTGGAGTTTGAAGCAGCCTACTGCTGGCCCTTGTGGAAGTAATACAGAATCTCTTATTTTTCATCAAAGTTGCTCTTTGGTGATTTAGAAATTCTTTATTTCAGACAAATAGACCCATCACTGAATTTCCATCTGTTGTATTCCATCTAATCTTTTCCTGTATTTTCCCTATGGCTGGACTAGAGTTGTATTAAATCTTCTTTTTATTATTTGATAAGGGCCAAATTTCCTTTTGTATTTGGTACATATCTGGTGTTATTAGAATCTCTGATATTAGTCTAATTGACCAGTGAGAAATAGCCAGAGGGATGGTAAGGAGTATAGCAGCCAAAGGGATGTGGCCTGAAATTGTGGTAGATAGGATTTTATTGCTCCACTGAGTTGCACCCTGGGTTCTCTGTGCTTTTAATGCATCACAGTGCAGTATCCTCAGGATCAGGCCATAAAGTAGAATTCTCAAGATTTTGTGGAATCAAAATAGAGCTAAAATGAATACTTATATTTTTAGGCATGCATTATTTTGTCAGATCTGTCTGCTACCATCTGTATTAAACGGGATAAAAGCAAAATTTACTGTTGTATTTGTTGTTATTCTTTTTCAATTCTTTGGTTATTTTCCTCTTCAAAGCTGCCATTATCATGGATGTCAAATGACTACCCTGTCCTGCTGTTATGCTGTGAAACCATGTTATCTGTGATCAGCTTAAGATCAATTTGAGTTGAACCAATTTTAAGAAGTTATTTTACTCCAAAATATATTATAGTATTTCTCTAAGGCCCTTCCCTACTGAAGAACCTTTATGTGCATACTTGAATTGTTTCATTCACACTGTTATCTTCTGCATGCTCACTGAAAGGTAACAGTGCTATGAAGGAAAAGAAGCATTAACTATAAGCTTGCCCTGAAACCTGAAATGTGAAGCTACTAATATTAAACATGAGCTAAAATGAAGTCTGTACCAAAGTCATGGTGGGGGTGGAGGGGACGCAAGTTTGTGGCTGTATTAGATTACCATGCCATCATGACTAAACCCAGATCGGACCAACTAAGTCTTCTGGTTTTGTTTTGTTTTTGCTTTAGTGTAATGTTGGTATCAAATAATGCTTATCAAACATTGTCATGATTTGGTTTCAGATTTTTCTCATTTGAACAGATGCAGTACTGTAAGCTTTCCTCGTGTTGACCTGCCTGTGTACAGCAGCTGTCTGTCTGATCTCATCTTTCAGTCCCTGGCCTCTATGCTAAGTTGGTTAGTTTTGACAGCGGTTCTGAGATTTTGACACTTGCCCGTTTGGAAATAGACCTCGATCACCACAAATTCATTCCTATCCTATAAGCAATTTAACAGCTATTGGAAGGTAACTTTTCAAGTTTTTACAGACTTGCTGACTTGGGCTGCTTACCAGAAGATCCTACTGCCAGTCAGTCACAGATGCATTCCCAGTCTCTTGAAAATTTTCACTGAAACAGCTAAGCTACTAATTTTTAGATGTTTCCTATAAATGCCACTCCTGCACTTTGCAAAAGGTATAACCAATTTTATTTGTATTTTAAGGTCCTTCATTAGAGATGATTAGGTCACCACCTTCAGTTAGTAAGTGTACTAAACAAATACTGTATTTTTAAACTAATTAGTTCAAAGATTCATATAAATATATTCTGAATAATTATTCCCATAACTTTTATGTCAGGAAGAAAGGATTCTAAAAGTGGTACAACTAGAGACTCACCTGAAAAAAAGTCTAGTTCATCACATATGAAAGGACATGGTAGGAAGGATACAGTAGAAAAACAGCTAGGTAAGGAACAAAATTGTCTGTTAACCAGGGTTTGTATTTTGATAATGCAATTGGAATTTCTGGTTTTCAAGGAAATGCCTTGAAAGTTTTTCTTTTTTCTGATTTAAACAAAACAGGTATTATTCTTCATGCTCCTCACTCTTGCTGTGTAACATCCCCTCTATACTAACTTCTCAGCAGAAATGAGTAATCACAGTATCATTCTAAACAATGTTTTGATTGCATGTATTGATATAATTTCCCTCAGTTCCGAAAGTGATTTCTAGTTAGTTATGTGCCAGGTGGCTAAGGAGAAATGCTAACACGTTTACATCATACTGTGGGTAAAATTTGGCCAGTTCCCTTTTCAGAAGGAGCTAGGGTTCAATTTTTAAAAACTCTTTAGGCATTTAAATATCTTTCTGAAAAGCCAACATTTTAGAAACTAAAGTCCCATTGACCTAGACTTGTGAGTCAAGTAGATGTTTTGAAAATGTTAGTTCACATCTTAAGTAAAGACATTACTATGAACTTTTAATAATCTTATAGCTGAAAAACATTACTGGGATCCTGTTGCCTGTAAACTGATTTTTACCTCATGGTGACCCTTGCCTGATTTCTTTCGTTTTCTTTTGCCACAATGTAGTATTTGTTTTCTGACCTATTTGTTTAATTTTTTAATATTATTTTAATGTTGTTTTATGTTTTTAGCAGTAAGTACATTCAGTTTTCACTTTACTGAGACTTTTAGTTCTTTAGGGCAGTGGCCATTTTTTGTTCTGTGTTTATGCACTGCATACCACAGAGGCTATGACTAGGGTACCAAAGTGATACAAGTAATAATGGAATCAGAACTCATGGTAGAGGTGATATCTTTTATTAGACTAACTAGATTTTTGCAGTTGGTCTAATAAAAGATATCATCTCTACCACAAGTTCTGATTCCTTTTGTCTCTAGATCGATATGGTTACAACCTGGATACCTGACGCAAGTAATAATGCACACTTGTTAATAGTAACATTCCTCTAAGCCTGTGTTAAAGCCTAATGCATTTGTGTGAGGGTTATTATAAGTTTGACTGTTGTCAGGGGACTCGGCTTTGTGTTCATACATTTTTAATACCAAATCTAAGTCAGAGGTGGCCAAGGGGCACAAGTGGCAGGGGCGGCCTCTGTGTGACACATGGCAGATCAGAGAGGGAGCAGGGAGAACAGCAGCAGATAGTATAGGGAGCAAAAAGCAGAACAACTTATGGGACAGGGAGCACAGGACAGGAAGCAGAAAGCATCACAGCAGCTCAGGGAGGGAAATGGATTCACGTGGTACTTGGGGTAGGTGTGAAACTTATCTGGTGGCACGCCTGCCAGAAAGGTTGCCCCCCACTGATCTAAATGAATAAATATGGAGTGTCAGGAAGAAAATAGGGTTGTAGTATAACTCGATCTGTGAATGCAGATGCAGCCATTGTGTTGCATAAAACTGGATTGAGAAGTACAGATGCAGTTCAGAAGGAATAAATGTAGTTAGTGAACCTGGTAGTTAAGAGATTATACCAGGTCTTGCTCAACTGTGCATATGGGGAACAGATTTACAGTAGTTGTAGATATATTTTTAATTTACTTGAACTTTCAGCTAACTAGTAGATCTACTCCCATTTTAAGTAGGTACAGTTTTATTTTCACTGTTGTAATATAACTTACAATAAAACTAATTGTATAGCAGTAGAAACTATGCTAATTAGAAAGCCAGTTTATTAGCTGCATGTCACATTAATTTGTCAGTGGTCTTTCAAACAAAGTTAAATTACTCTGTTTAAATCACATGTGATTGTTGGTGTGTAGTTAAGGAAGCATGTGAACAGCCTTCTTGAAAAGAATGGATGCTGTTACAATGGGTAGTACTTCTTATGTTGGAGAAGTATTTTATGTGTGTTAGGAGTAAGTTACATATAAAGAAACCTGAATATTAGGATTTCAAGCTGCTACCCCTGCATTTCCATATCAGAAATTGATTTCATGATGCGACTTGGAAATGCAGGCAGGAGAAGGACAGAGGAAATCTGGTGCATTCATATCAAAATCTCACTTTTTAATACAGTGAAAAATTCTTGGAACATCAGTGAAAAGACTCAACAACTGAAGTTTATGCTTGTCAAGGGTGTTGTCATACCTGGAAACTGCTCAGGTGATGCTTTGAAAATCAGAAATGCAAACATGTGAGAAGGGGTGTAGGTGGGTAGGACTGTGCAAAGCTTTGGTCCCTGATTCAGTTTGGTGGAGATTCGTCCCGATTCAGTGGCTGAATCTCTGAATCTGAATTGAATCAGAGGACCCTTTATTCTCTCTGAATTGAATCGATTTGGAGAGATTTGGAAAGATTTGGCAATTCGGACATAGACACAGCATTAAATATTTTTTCTACATACCTCTAGGTAGCAGGCGGCCGTGAATGCTGCGATGGTGGGGTGCATAGAGTGTCCCACAGAAGTGAATCGAATCAGGGACAGTGATCCAAATCAATTAATCGAATCATTGTCCCTGATTTGGGCCAAATCTGAATTGAATAGGGCCCGCTTCGCACACCCCAACTATGGAGCAGTTGGTGAGCCTATCAGTACGGCAATGGATTCTGCAGTGTTTCAGGCTATATCCCTGATGTATATAGTGCATATCTCATTGTAAATTATTTTATGTCAGGAAGAAGGGAAGCTAGTAAAAGTGCAGCTAATATTTTGGTTGAGAAAACTGCTAGCATATTGAGAGCTGAGTCTATCACTACAGTACAGGAAAGAGGTAAGAAAGTACAGTGCTCCGTATATATGCGTTGAATAGCATTTAATAATGATGTCTGTGTTTTACCTTTTGAACCAACTGTCACAATATACAATATCAGTAGACAACCTTTTCTGGCTGTTGGCTGCGATGACGCACCTTGGGTCAGAGGCAGGCAGGGGCTAGGACTTGCGTACAGCCTGCGGTGTAAAATACCCTTTTCTAATCCATCTGAATGTTTTTGTATTCATTTTTATTCCTACTAAAGTTTTGGTCTCACTGATACCTGTAGCAAAATTATACTCGTGTGCGGTTAAAAATATTTTTTTTTACTGTCTCATTCAATGTCTCTTTGTACAGTCCTTATGAGACAGGGTAAAAGAGTGCCTAACACCTTCTATGTGCTATCCATTACCTTGTTTTATACCTCTTGTGGCTATTTTATTTCTTCAAAACAGTTTTAGTCTTTTCCATGCCTACAGTCTTTTAAATTACATGTCTGGCCCTATTCTACTTTTTTTTTTGAGATGGGGGTATATGAAATGAATATATTCATTCCAGGTGAAGACATACAGTTGATTTGTGCAATGCTCTTATTTTTAGTGTTTTCTGTCCCACTTTTTAATTTG